TGTGATATTATGTGACTTCAAACCAGGTTTTTCACTGGTAGTACTAAATGGCATGTTCTTCACTGTTTTGCATACCCTGTCTGAAATAATGGAGACTCACTGCTGCCATGTCAACTGAAACCTCAGTACTTCAGCAGCCAGTCTGAACCTGCCCTGAACACAGAAAGCACTAAGTATCTCTATAAGAAGGGTAAGGGGTGTGGAAAAACAGGCTGTGAAGGTTTTCAACCTCAGAAACACTTTATGATACTTCCTAGGCTATTAAAAAAAAAAAACACCAAACATCTAAAATTCTTACATATTTTCAAGGGTAAAATAATTAATATTTGTGAAACATTCAAACTCTGACAGGCAGCCACAACTATACCATATCACCCATGACTAAATCCTTGTACAGTAAATAAGGCTTAGGTATACATCAACTGAGAAGAATCAGACGCAACTCTGAACAGGCAGTCACTGAATCAACCACCCAGAGGTGGCTTTCTGCACATCTTACATTATGATCAACTGAAGTCACTTCGCACTCTGAGTTGGTTCTGTTTCTTAATAATACTGCTATTACTCCATCTTTTGTGTGCTAAATGCTTGGCTCTTCATGCAAATTGTCCCTACTGCTGTAAGCTGAGAAAGTATTTTTCCTAATACTAACAATTCACATCATAATTTTCCATACTTGGTCCTTCACAAAGGAACTGCAATCCTTTCTTTCCCTGCCCCCTGCCTTGTTCTCCCTTACGATTAACCTATCAAATCATACTTGGCAATTTCTCATTCAAGATCTCACTGCTTTTCATTGGTTTATCAGCTTCTAACATATATATCATGGTTTATAAATTACATAAATCTAACATATACATGTACTATGTACTGGCAGTTGTAAATAATTAAACGAGTCAACTGAAAAGGACTCACTACTTGATGCTATATTTTAAAATTATTTTTCACGTTAGAGATGACATGAAGGCAAATAAATGACTAAAGCTATGCAGTAAGATACCTGTTTTGTTTCAGTATTTTTAGTCAAAATCTGAACTCCATGTTTCCTTCCCCTCTTGCCCCTCACTAAAAGTGGAAACTACATTTCGCCAGTGATCTTCAACCTTCTCAGCAAAGTGACAAATAGTTTCTTTCTTTTGAATACAAATGGAGGGCCAATGTCATTACCCTTACTCTTCTAACAGCCATTTAGGTATTCCAAAAAGACACTTCCTAAGTATTTGTAATAAACTAAATTTTAACACAAACAAATTTTAAACTTACAAAGCAGACATTTACTGTGTGTCTGAAAAGCTAAAAAATGCTAGGTGCTGCAATTATCTTGAAGCTTGCGTTAATCACACACCATGCAACTTGGGTTTCCTTACTTTGTTTTTACCACTCACTAACGGAACCATGAAATGAAGCTCAGGCTATTCCTGTTCTCCTTCCATTACCGACGGATCTGAACAGCTGTACATGAAGTAGCTGTATCCCACAGAAGGAAAAAAAAAACACCAAGAAACCGGATAGACACAAGGTCAATGTTGTGCCTATTTTCCTCCCTCACTGTTTATTTGAATATCATAGAATCATAGAATGGTTAGGGTTGGAAGGAACCTTAAAGATCATCTAGTTCCAACCCCCCTGCCATGGGCAGAGAAATCCTCCACTACACCAGGTTGCCCAAAGCCTCATCCAACCTGGCCTTGAATATCTATCCAGCTATTGTCAGAAACTACGCAAAAACTTCATAGGTTGTAGAAAGGAAAGACCACACAGTACAACATAGTTTTCCCCTGCAGTTTGCTGGTCAAAATCGGCTTGTTGAGACTATTAATCTGTCCTACAGCCTACTCCTAGCAATTCATCCCCTTAAGGACTTACAGAGAGTAAGCAGTGCGTAGGGTGAGCTGTTCTGGTCGCAGGAAAGGGCTCACTCCTCACATTTTCCTGTGACCCTATCAATCCCCCCCCAGCCACACACGCAACAGGTACCCATGTTCAGAACACAGGAAATACTCCAGGGCTGCTGCTAAACTCTCTTGCAATTAGAACAGTTTCTGTTTCACGGACACACTCCTGAGACGAGCTAGGAAAGGCTGCTGCTCTAAGGCTGCAACAACCATTCTGGCAGAGCACTCTGCTCCCAGCAATCCTTGTTCCCAGGCATCATTCAAGAATGGAGATGCTCTTAGCTCTCTGTTGCTAACTACCTGGTGCAACACTGCTTCCTCGGTGTGTGCACAGCAAACACAACACTCCAGAAGTATCAGACTTCCTACAGATTAACTGTACCAAAAAAGCGAAGTTGATACATGCATGATGGGAAAGATTATGATACACAATCATCCCTTAGCCCTGGTCATGAGCCTTTGCTTTATAATAAACATAGGTAAGTGTTGATTTAAATGAACAAGGTAACATAACATTAAGGATGCACATTTCAACACAAAGCACATGGTTTTGACATACAACAAAATCATAGAATGGTTTAGGTTGAAAGCGGCCTTAAAGACCAGCACCCTTGCCATGGGCAGGGACACCCTCCACTACACCAGGTTGCTCAAAGTCTCATCCAGCCAGGCCTTGAACACTTTCCAGGATGGGGCATCCACAGCTTCTCTGGGCAACCTGTTCCAGTGCCTCAACACCCTAACAGTGAAGAATTTCTTCCTTATATCTAATCTAAACCTACTCTCTTTCAGTTTAAAGCCATTTTCCCTCGTCCTATCACTACATGCCCTTGTAAAAAGTCCCTCTCCACCTTTCTTGTAGGCTCCCTTTAAGTACTGGAAGACTGCTATGAGATCTCTCCAGAGCCTTCTCTTCTCCAGGCTGAACCACTCCAAGCCTCTCAGCCTGTCTTCATAAGAAAGGTGCTCCAGCCCTCGGATCATCACCTCATGAGAGCAGAGTAGAGGGGCACAATCACCTCCTTCGACCTGCTAGCCACACTTCTTTTGATGCAGCCCAGGATATGGCTGGCATCTGCCAGTTGTCTCAGGACTTGTGGATGCACTTCGTCAGGTGCAATGGACTTGTCCATCTTCAGGTTCTTTAGATGGTCTTGAACCTGATCTTTTCCTACAGTGGGTGGTTCTTCTTCTCCCAGTCCCTGCCTTTGCCTTCTGTGACTTGAGCAGTGTGACTAGAGCACTTGCCAGTGAAGACTGAGGCAAAAAAGTCCTTGAGTACCTCAGCCTTCTCCATATCCTGGGTAATCGGGTCTCCCATTTCCTTCTGGAGAGGGCCCACATTTTCCCTAGGCCTCCTTTTATCACTGACATACCTATAGAAGCTTTTCTTGTTGCCCTTGATGTCCCTGGCCAGATTTAACTCTATCAGGGCTTTAGCTTTCCTAACCTGATCCCTAGTTGCTCGGACAATTTCTCTGTGTTCCTCCCAGGCAACCTGTCCTTGCTCCCACCCTCTGTAGGCTTCCTTTTTGTGTTTGAGTTAGTCCAGGAGCTACTTGTTCATCCATGCAGGTCTCATGACTTTTTTGCCTGACTTCCTCTTTGTTGGGATGCACCACTCCTGAGCTTGGAGGAGGTGATCCTTCAATATTAATGAGCTTTCCTGGGCCCCTCTTCCCTCCAGGGCTTCATCCCATCGTCTTGCTCCCACCCTCTGTAGGCTTCCTTTTTGTGTTTGAGTTAGTCCAGGAGCTACTTGTTCATCCATGCAGGTCTCATGACTTTTTTGCCTGACTTCCTCTTTGTTGGGATGCACCACTCCTGAGCTTGGAGGAGGTGATCCTTCAATATTAATGAGCTTTCCTGGGCCCCTCTTCCCTCCAGGGCTTCATCCCATCGTACTCTACCAATCAGACCCCTGAAGAGGCCAAAGTCTGCCTCTCCTAAAGTCCAGGTTAGTGAACTTGCTCTGCTCCCTCCTCGCTGCTCTAAGGATCTTGAACTTCACCATTTCATGGTCACTACAGCCAAGGCTGCCCTTGAGCTTCACATTCCCTACCAGCCCCTCCTTGTTGGTGAGAACAAGGTCCAGCAAAGCACCTCTCTTCGTTGGTCACTCTATCACTTGGAAAAGGAAGTTATCTTTAATCCATTCCAGGAACCTCCTGGATTGCTTCTACCCTGCTGCACGTCCCCCAGGAGGACCAGGGCTCATGAAAGTGAGGCTGCTCCTGTCTGTCTATAGAGGGCCTCATCCACATAGTCTTCCTGGTCAGGTGGCCTGTAGCAGACCCCCACTACAATGTCACCTGTCCCTGCTCTCCCTTTAACGCTGACCCATAAGCTCTGGGTCAGCTCCTCATCCATCCCCACATGGAGCTCCATACACTCCAGCTGGTCGTTGACACAGAGAGTGATACCTCCTCCTCGTCTCCCCTGCCTATCCTTTCTAAAGAGTCTGTATCCTTCCATTCCAACACTCCAGTCATAGGATTCATCTCACCACGTCTCCGTGACACCAATAAGATCATAACTCTGCAGGCACACACACACCTCTAACTCCTTTTGTTTATTCCCCATGCTACACGCGTTTGCATAGAGCCATTTAATTTGGGGCCCCAATGACTCTGACCTACTGGCTGAAGTGTCTGGAATTCCTTCCCACCACTCTTCAGGTGCTCTCAGCTTGTCTTGATCAAGCTTGATGTTATCCCTCTCCCCCTTCAAATCTAGTTTAAATCCCTGTCAACAAGCCCCACTAGCTGATGTGCAAAGACCCCCATTCCCTTCTGAGAAAGGTGGATCCCAATCTGGTGCCAGGAAGCCTGGTGCCATGTAGGTCAGCCTATTATCGAAAAACTCAAAATTGTGGTGATAACACCAGCCACAGAGCCACATATTAAAAGACTGGACACATTTGTTTCTTACAGTGTCACTGCTTGCAACTGGAAAGAGAGAAGAAAAGATAATCTGTGCCCCAGGTTCCCTTACCAACCATCTCAAGGCCCTGAAGTCTCTCTTGATCAACCTTGGACTTCGTGTTGTCACTTCATCACCACTCACATGGAAGAGCAGTAATGGGTAATAGTCTCAGGGCCATACCAGGCTAAGAAATTTCCTAGCGATGTCCTCAACCCGGGCACCAGGGAGGCAGCAGACTTCCCTAAGAGGAGAGTCTGCCCGGCATATTGAACCCTCTGTTCCCCTCAAAAGGGAGTCATCTACAACTATAACCAGTCTTCTCTTCCTCGTGGAGGTGGTCATGATACAGGGGTTAGGCCTTTCTGACTCCGGCAACACATCTGTTCTAGATGGACTGTCAACCACATCATTCATCGACAGGTCTTCCACCTCCATAGCCTCATACCTGTTGTACAGAGGCACCTGGGAAGACAAGGTGGGCAAGGAAGGGATTCGCCTGCAGTCCCAAGCACGGACTTGCCTCCGTTCACTCTTTTACTTTAAGCTACTGCCTTCAGCCTGGTGGGGGAAGGACACAGAATCCCCTTCATCTTGTTTTTTTTTGTGGCTCTTCCTGTTTTATCTCAAGTTGGGCAGAGCACAACACCACCAATCTATCTCTCTCTTAGACTCCCTGATGCTCCTTAACGTTTCTACTACCTCTCGCAAAATGTTGATATCCCACATGAGATTCCTTCTCTCTAAAAGGGAACAAAAGCATTACAGAAGAAACATCACCTTTACACTAGCACTCTGCCTACCATGCCATGACTAGTTGGAAGTGGATTAACAGGTGGAAAACATTCCTTTTCTCTGATCCATCGCAAGTCTTCAACATCACCTATCTGAGAAACTGTGTGGTACAACTACACATGAGCATACTTCCTAAACTGGACATCTATTTTTTACCATTCTGTGCACATCCAGATATGACACTTTCAGCTCACAAATTAAAGTATTTATGAAAATTAATTTGCATCCATTCTCTTCTTGATAAAGTTTAATACTACCTTGCAACGGTGAAAGGGGAAGTACTGCTTTCTACTCTGTCCCCAAATAAATACTTTCTTTGTTTTTCTCCCATCCCTGGATTCATGCTGTCCTTGCACTCTGTGGATCCCACCAATCTTATGGATACATGCTGACACTGCTCACTGAACTCACCCAACAGAATAAAACCCCTCAAACCCCCCACAGAAACGTGAATAGCTTTCTGCAAAACCAATTTGGCACAGCATAGAGCTAAGGAATGTTGTGCCTTGGGCATGAAAGAAATGTAAGAGTGCTCTTTCCATCAGCAGCCCACAGTTCAATCAGAAATAGAATACCTTTATACACAATCTAACAGGTTAAATTAGTGGTATGAATCCACTTAAAAATATACATTTTTCAAAACATTAAGCCTAACTCAACTGCACTAGGAGACATCTAAACACCCACCTTCCCTCTGCAGAAAGTTAAAGATATACTTTCCTAAATAAGAACAAATGCAGAACACAGTGCAACAGTAAGCCTGTACTGTTAAAAATAAAATTGGTGTATAACAATTTGGTAAGTTTAAAAGCTACTAAACTGTATCACAAAGCTAGTAGAAAATCGAAAAAGATATATTAAACTGCCAGTACGTAATAGCACTAAAAAAAAAGAAAAATCAAAGTCACAGAAACAAAACTAACCATTCAAGCTTTCCACTAAGTCAAGCTCTGAAAAATTTTTTATTGTTAAACATCCCCATTGTATCCTATTCTTTCTGTTGCAAAGACGTTCAGGAATTTTGTACAAGGTTACAGGATCAATGTAACCCATTACAACAGAATCTATTCTGCTTCCTAATATCACAATGTCTACTTCAGAGCCATAACCATTGTCAGATTCAGGGCAACCAGCCGCTGTATTTGCTTGTATAACCTGGCAGTTCAGAACCAGAAAACAGATTTCCATGGAGTTAAAACAAGTGATTCTCCTAGCTCCTGCTAGTCAGAGACACATGCAACAGTCGGTGCATCTATAAGAGAACCTTATTGGCTCCCACTTTTGTTCCCAGTCAGAAACATAGTATGCTTGAGCAAACCAAGCATGTTTGTCTATCTACCTTGTCTTCTCACGCACATTTGTAATAGAGAAACTTAATGTCTTCATGCAAAAGCTCCATAAGGGGTCTTATCTGGAAGAGCTGGTCCCTGCTCATATTAACAATGAATCTGAGACCAGGAGTAAACAGCAGGCATCAGCAAGGCAGTGAAGGTGCCCACCTGTTACTGAGCAGCTGAGTATTTACAGAACATAACCAGTAAGTGGCAAACCTAGGATAAGTTTCCTTGGCAATCTGTGGGGTGCCAGCCCACACCTGATAGCTCCAAGCCTAGCATTAGTTTGGTTAGGGCTCTCCTCTTGTCTTGCTGACACTAATCCACTGTGAATCTCCAAAATAAAGACCACGAAAGGAAGCACGATCCAAAAGGTACATTGGGCTTGTACTAGGTATCACAGTCCTACCTACAAAAAGTGTTTAAAGAATAATGTAAAAACCATGAAGAGTCACTGGAGAACTAAGATACAAAAACGTACATCTGAAGGAATGCTGTTCTCACTGAAAAGCATTGTATCACTGCGGACTCTTGCACTTCTTTTTACATTGTGCTGTAAATGTGAGGTTAAGTCTAAAGTAAGATCTGAGCCAAAGTTTTCCATTTCCTGAGCAAAATATCAAATAGGTATCTCACTATCAATTTCTCTACCTTTCCCAGCCAGATTTTAAAACAAAAAGAAAGTTGCCAAAGGAATCCAAAAAGTGGTTTTCACCTCTGAATCCCAGTCTCACTTAGGCCGTTAACTCATGCCACAGACAAGCATTAAGTCCAGGAGAGACTAAGCAAGACTTCAGACACATCCCTCCTGCTTGCTCTTGGCTGGCACAGCACACTTATCCCTGCCACAGTGAGCATCAACCTATTAATTCCCTGCTCACTTACGGAAATACAGGCTCCTAATCAGGTTTGCAAATCTCACAATAAGCCCATTTTTGTAAAAACCTGACATTGTCATGCCTAACTCCATAAAGCCTCTTTGTTTAGTACTCTGTGTGTTCCTTAAGAGGGTAGAATATTCCTATATCACCAGGAAGTGTATAGCTATATATCAAGCTGTCAAGACTTACCTCTGAAGAGACTCTAGTCTTCGTTCCTCTCTCTTTCTAGCTAGCCGTTCTTCTTCCTCATCTGGCCTACTAGAAAAATTAGGAGAGAAGGAAAGCATAAGAGGAGGAAAAAGCAATTTCAGTGCTAGGCAACCACTGTTTAGTCATTTGACTTATTTTCCAAAAGAATTTATAGTCTGACCTGAGATACTTCACAGCCACGTAAAATTTAATTGCTGAGTAAGTATAATTGACAAATTTCTAAAATTACCCTTTCACATTTTATAATACCCAAATGCTTCACCCACTGTAGCAATGTGCTCTTCAGACTCCACAGGACAATTCAAAGCCTCTTCAGAACAGGTTAGAGACTGTTCCAGAAGCAGGACTCCTACCTGCCATTTTCCCCACGTCACACTCCATTTTAGAGTAAGTGTGCTGCACATGCACAGTTAAATCCATTGTTGCCTCTTGGAAGAAGACTGATGGTTCATAAGCCTTTGATGTCAGAACAATTTATCTTTCCAACAGCCATCACTATCCAATATCAAGTTGCCCTCGGGAAAGCAGTCCGCATGAACTGCTTTGGCAGCTGCCTTCCCGTTATGGAATGAGCAAGGATTTACCTGAGTGCATCAGTTGTGTAATTCTGGGAAACACTGAGCCTACACAGTACATCTGAGCTGTGTGTGTGCAGACATGCTATACTGAATGCATGCCCCTAAGCTTCGTGACCTCCCTCAGAGAAAGCTCAGCTTCACTAAACCATTAGATAGACCATATAATAACTGTAAAATTCTAAAGCAAATGCCAAACAATATTTATTTGTCCATTATTTTTTCTGACAGAATTAATGACAATTCTTCAGGATTAGTGAATGGACACCTGCCATGCTTTTTCAGGTGCTAATCAGTTTTCAAAACGGACTGCACTGTCTGAAGAAGTTTGATACGTATATTTTCAACATTAACACACCTGCTAATAGAGAAATGGACGGTTACAGTACCACATACCTGCAGCAACCAACATACAAGTTAAGCAAGAGTGACATCCAGTGGTTAATTATAGCATGTCAAACGTTTTAACAGACACAAAATTCACAGATATTAGAACTGGAAATCTAAACTCAATTTTTCCATCTGCTCAATCAGTCTACACATGTCTTTGAACATCTTAGTCACTTAAATATAACCCAGTCATTCAGAATCCATTTAATGTTTCACATACAAATTTTCTAGTTCCTCCTTTTTTGTTTCCACATGAAGAGTTAAAAAAATCTTGCGGGAGTTCAGCAGCAGGAAACACATGTAATAGGTCACCTTTATTAGAAAGGTAAGTTAGACCCATTTGTAAAACTAATCAATTCCCTGGGAAGACTAGAAGCTCCCATTCTTGGGCATCCTTCAGTAAAACTACTTTATCAGAGACCCCAGTGTCTTGTAACTGTGCAATAGTCTCACTCACTCCGGTGTTGCAAAAATGCAAATCCACCAAATCAATAAAATGCTGGTATAGTATTCAGAAAGCATATTTCTTCCTTGTAATTAAAAGAAGCATTCTTGTAATTAAAAGCAGCATTAAATATCTTCTGATTTCTAGATACTTTGAAGGAATTGAGTTTTTAATTGTCTGAAATTATAAAAATTAAAAATTGGTTGTTGAACTGAAGTTCAAGAGAGTCTATTTAGTAGTTTCATGAATAGTTATATCTCAAGCAAACATAACCAGACTCAAAGTCTAAACACAGGATAAAAATAATGAACTGAAAAATGCACCAATAGTCCTTAGATTCCTGTCATACGGATGGACTCGGGTCAGCTACGTCACGGATAGGGGTTTAATGCACTTAAGTATTCTCTTTGTTCAAGGAAAAGGTAAGTGCTGGCTTCTTAAACAATGAAACCACACAGCTTAAAAATTCCCAGAAGGAATACTGATGCTTCTTCAAAACAAGGTTACACTCGAGATCTGAGACAATACCTCTAAGAAGCCAGTAAAACAGATCTAATATTACATTTCTACAAATGTTCCTTCTTCCAATTAATTAAAAAAAAGTTTCTTTTGTGGAAAAGGAGTCCCTAGACTGAGAAAGCAGACAGAAAAGAAT